TCAGGTCCCTTCCAGCCCTACCAACTATGAAACTATAAGCTTTCACACTGTGACCAGAAAGCTTTTACTGAAGTCTCTTGAGGTGAGGCCACCTTTCAAAGCAGCTGCACTGGCCAAGCAATTCCCCGTTTATACACTATGCTGACACCAAGATCCTCTCTCCTTCCAGCTGCTCTGGAAGGAGCATTGCCATTGCCATGACCCCCCATCCATCGTTTCAAGAGATGAACCAGGCAACATTTATACTTCTGCAACTTCGGAGCAGAGTGAAGACAGGCATGTGTTCCCTAGAGCAGCCCTCCTCTTGAGCAACAAATTCACTGCTCTCTTGCTAAGCACTGGCAACTGGTCCAACTCAATGAAGAACTGCCATTAAGGACCCCTGAATCTCAAGATGCATGATTTCTCCTAACCTAGACCACAGGGATTTATGGTCTGACTTGAACACAAACCTCCTTCCATATGAAGGGGGTGAAAAAAATCTTCCAAGTTAGGCACTACCCAGAATTGTTCTGGGGCAATACAATCCTCTGTCTGGAGAGCCCAGACTTCTGGTGTCATTAGGCCCTACCCTTTCCTAGCATTTGTGTTCTTGCCCCAAGATTGTCCTCAAACCCATAAGCGCCGACATCTCACTTCTGTGCCCTGAAGCACAAGGATGCCAACACAGCTACAGTCACAAGTCTCTCCCCCAACTTTAAAAAGGCTAAATTACATTTTGCTGAGACTAAAATCATTCCTCTCTCACCCAGCCCAGGCAGTGCTATTTTGCTTCCCCCAGCCACACTAGCTGACTGCACCCAAGCTCAAATCACCTCCTTTGGAAACAATTTATGTTTCTCCTATTTCAGTTTCAGGTTGACAGCACGGAGGGTTTCCCAGGGCACTTGTAACCAAATCAGTTCTTGTTCAGTGCCCCAGGACAACATGCGGGCACAGTGCACATGTTGAGACAGACATGCCAAGCAATGCTCTCTCTATTAGCCTCTCAAACATGGCTGGTGCCTTGCCCAAACAAAAAGTTACCTTTGGAAATTGCCATAGGCCTAGTCCTGATGTAGAAGTAGCTGCTCTCCTGCCCTTTGGATCTACTTCCACTAGTCAGCATCCACTCTTAAGACTTCCAGTGCAAAACCAGTCTGTACCACCCTTTCCTTCTGGTCCCCCATCCCCCCCCCCATATCCATGTGTAATCTCTTGTCTCACTTTAATGGAAACCTTTCTGGGGCAGGAACCATTTTTTCGTCCTTTGTTTATACACCAAGTGGCACAAAGGCCATGACTAGGGCTCCTAGATCTACAGCAGCACAAGTTATTATAGTGATGATAAACAGCTTCTGTGCTGGCTGCTGTAGCAATCTGTGTGCTAGATAATTACATACCCTAAACTAACTTCAGTTAATGTTCTGTAGTCTACACAAAATCTGGCAGCGCTGTGGTGCTGGTGAGTTTTCAACCAGATCCGGAGGCCCAAGCACTGGTTGAAGACTCAGTTGTTCTTCCCCAATTCACTTCCTCAATGCCTTCTTACTCCTTTGCAGACAAGGTTTT